CTATCTTGACGTGAGAGGAGGTAAGACCTTATCAGAATTTAACTATTTTCTTACACTGAAAATGTATTTCCGATAGGTACTTACCTCCTCTCGTACACTTTTCACCCTTTCTTCCCACTACTGGTGTTCTTTTTTTGGAGCCTGCCAATTCTTGGAAGTGAGAATTGAGTGGGAATAGCAGTGAAAGCTAGCTGTGCCAATATAGGTGGAGCAATACTGTTGGTGGAGAGTAGTCACATGATATAGTGGTCCCTATTAGATACAACCAACCTATTTGCCATGATTAAAAAAGTTGTATCTAACAGGAAGTCATTATTCAAAGGATAATGAATGATCGAGTTCAAGCTGTGCCAGTTGCTATTTATTACCAAGGCTTGATCATAATGGTTTATATACTGTTTAAGTAATCACATGACATAGAAAATTGATATACTAATAGTTTTGATGGATAACAGTTCAGTTTGTGTTTTATGTAAAATAATTTAATCATTGATCACATTTATTTCATAATAAACAACATTGCCCATCTTTGTTTGTTTTGCACATTTAACTGGGTCACTTTGCAGTAGATATGATAGAAGTGTTTTGTTGTTCAGTTTCAGCTCATGAAAGTGAGGTGAGGTGTTTACATTTTCACTTTTCATGAGGCATCTTTGTACAAAACTGTAAGTGGTTTATTCTTCAATGTGTGTCATATTTATACTGCAAGCTGTAGATTAATTACTCTACTCACCAGGATAATTAACTACATCTGATATCTCGAGAAAACACTCATTCTGACTGCTGATTGGTTGGTGAGGGTTTTCCCAGCTTGCATCACAGTCTCATTTTCATGGCCAATTGCATGTTACTCGTCAAAACACTCACGTGTCAACTGGTGTAAGCAAGCACTAACTGCTGTTTAAATTATTCATTTTTTCTGATCACATTGACTAATCAAGGTAGAGATATTCATATTTTGAAGAATATTACATAAAATATGAAAATTTTCCTGCCTTCGTATTCATTGTGTGGTGTGACATCAAGTCACTCACCTGTTGTGGACATCAACAAACTATATGTTTATACATTTTTATTGAAATGAAGAAAAATCGCTATAGAGAGGCCATTATCCAATCTTCTGCTCCAAAATCACTGTTGTATGTTGCATCTATCAGGAAGTCATTCTGTGCACAGAAATAAAGTCTTATTTAAAAGGAAGTTGTTATTTGGAGGGGTCATATCCACCAGGGACTACTGTATGTACATGTTCAGAAATGGGAGGACATCGATGGGTGCACTGATTGCAAAAATTTTTTAGCAATGCTTTGAGTGCAGAAGATCGAGATAGCTTTGTGTGACAGGAGATCGAGATAGCTTTGTGTGACAGGAGATCGAGATAGCTTTGTGTGACAGGAGATCGAGATAGCTTTGTGTGACAGGAGATCGAGATAGCTTTGTGTGACAGGAGATCGAGATAGCTTTGTGTGACAGGAGATCGAGATAGCTTTGTGTGACAGAAGATCGAGATAGCTTTGTGTGACAATGCTTTGAGTGCAGAAGATCGAGATAGCTTTGTGTGACAGGAGATTAGTACCTATCGGAAATATATTTTCAGTATAAGAAAAATGTTAACTTTAGTGTCTCAACAGAAAAAAAGCGTTTTGTTTAATTAATGTATCTAATCATGTTTATTTTCATATAAATATTAATTTTTTTTGAAGTTGTTTAGTACTATTTATTTATATAGCTGTGTAAGCTTCTGTAAGTGTGACATAAAGTAGAATTGCTTATGTTTTCATTAGATAACGTTTTTAACATTTTGAAAGATTAGTATTTTTATTTAGTTATATCTGTAATGTAAATTTATATTACTTGAATCATGAAACATCCATCATAACAACTCTTGAACATTTGTTGTTTTTTTCTTCTTCAGCGGATAGCTACTGCTCCAACTTCAGTTAGTCAGTCTTTGGCTTTTGAGCCTTTGTCCATTGTTATACCACCTTTAGAAAAATATGTTATCCAAGAGAAGCAGGTCCCTGCTTTAATCGTAGATAGGTAAATGAAACAATATTTACTTATTTTCTATGTATGTTACAGCTTTATACATTTTAATTTATAGTTTTTGCATCAGATTTGTAAACAACAAAATTTTTTGCCAAGTGCCTCAGACCTTTATTGAAACTATCAAAATCTGAATGTTTAAAAGAGTAATTAATTTTAATATGTTTTGGACTTTGATATTAAAAGCCAACTCCAACCATACCGGGTAATGTAACACGTACCAAATACTTTATATTATTCATATATTCTTCACTAATTCAAAATGCTTTTTTTTTTAAGTAAAAGCAATTTATTAGCAGTTTCTTTGACATGAATGTCAAACCTCATCTTGTGAAATGGATTGGGCAATAATGTCACTTTTTTATGGCGTGTTCAAGAACATTAGAGCTAATAGGGGATTAATGTTGAAGAAACTGCTAGTAAATTACTTTTATGAAAATGTTGTTATTTGTTGGAAATCTAAACCTTTTTTCTTGTCACTGATGAAGAAATGTGATGTTTAATGACAATGATACTCTTTAGAAAAAAAATGCTTAGAAATATATATATATCCCCAGTTTGTGTTTAATATGCATAATGTCAACAAAACTTAGTTTTAAAACTCAAGATGTTGTTGAAACATAAGAAACAATTTAGAAATGTCACTGTTACATAATTAACTACTTTTCTTTGCTCATGTTTTTGACAGAGTTAATAGTGATATTTATTTTTATTAATAATGAAACACCAAATATTCATTCCAGTTCATGGGATTGTTTATATTCTCTATTCATAATTCAGTTACAATGATGCTATTGGGTTACATAGTACTACTGAAATATAGTTGACACTCAAAACTCTCTTTGTGTAGCATTAAAGATTACTAATTTGTTTATTAGTTTTTGAATAATTTTGAAAATGGTCCCCAAATCTTACTCATTAAATTAAGGTAATATTATAATATGAACTTGAAGATAGGAATACAATACTAATGAAGATGTTTATATGTATTTGGTTATTGGATGAAACAAAATTATGTAAAGTAGTTTTTAAAAGAAAATATAAGTCTAGTTGTATAATATTTAATCAGTTAGATGGTTATTATAATCAGTTTTTTTTCTGCTTTTAATAAAATATGAATTAATAGTTGTCTATTCCATTGTAGAGTTGTAGAACAGACCATAAACCAAAGAATAAACAAACATCTGTTTGGAGAACACATGAAAGACCCATATAGTGGTAAGTGTTTTTATTATTATTATTATTATTAAAGGATATTTATTTTGTATGGAGAGCACATGAAAGATTCGTATAGTGGTAAGTGTTTTTATTATTATTATTAAAGGATATTTATTTTGTATGGAGAGCACATGAAGGACCCATATAGTGGTAAGTGTTTTTATTATTATTATTAAAGGATATTTATTTTGTATGGTGAGCACATGAAAGACCCATATAGTGGTAAGTGTTTTTATTATTATTATTAAAGGATATTTATTTTGTATGGAGAGCACATGAAAGACCCATATAGTGGTAAGTGTTTTCATTATTATTAAAGGATGTTTATTTTGTAAAGTAGAAACAAACTGTCATTGATTGTTGCCAAGTAATTCAAACTTTGGTTTTTCCTGTAAAGAGTAAATGTCTCTAGCTTTCAGTCTTTTGATTTGGTTACATCTCCTCAGTAATATATTTCAAGCCAATACACATTCATTGATGCCACTCTTTTCAATGTTCTTTTCTCACTTGCATCTGTAGTAAGGTAATTGGCAAAATCTGGACTCAACTGTTATCTTTCTCATAAAAACATGACTATCTATACTTTTATAGGCTTTATTCTGATTGGTTGGATGACAACAATAACAGTGTAAAGATTGAGACACTTGTGGTCTGGTGCATTCATTTTTCAAATGATAAAGGAGGTGGCATTCTCGTAGTATTTACCTTTTACACCCTTTTTTTTTCACAATTTCAATTATTATTTCAAGTACTGTATGTATAAAAACACACATGCACATACATATATAAATAAATACATATTGTAGATTTAGTGTAAACTAATGTTCCATGTTTGTGTATAGTTCATTTGTCCCATAAAAGAAAGCGTAAGGAACGTAGACTGTCGGAGGAAGAGCCAAAGAGCTCAAGATCAAACTCCGAGGAACGTCTTTTGGATTGGGGACCAGTCACTGAAGATGTGACATCAATTCGTCGTTGCAGTAGTCATGAAGAGATTACTCCCAAAGAATCAATAGAGAATGTACAAGATAATGCAGATCAGAAACAGGTTTTGAACATGTTCATATAAAGATAACTTGTCATAGTTTGTTTTAATTTTATACAGTTTGTCTTTATAAAGTTAGATTATCGTAGATACCTTCTAAGATACTATTCACTGATCACATTGTCTGGCCAAAAACCTTTTAATCTTGGACTTAACTTGCTTTTTGACATTAATATCTGTGATACTATTGATAATTGTTTGCTTCTACTTTCTTGTATATGTTTATTGATGCATGTCCATATTTTGTGAATTATAAGGGTTTATGTAGTGTATTATAGATAACTAAGTATTTTTTTATTCACAACTACTAGGTAAGCTTAGATAAAATATAATAGTAGATATTATAATGGAAATAAGAAGTTCACTTGTTCTTGGTAAAATGTTGTCAACCTAACTGATGTTAAAGTTCTATGACTTTAAGGTTTAAATGTTATAATCATGATGTAGTTACTGAAATTAGTGCATTTATATCTGTTTATTAGGTCTAGCTGTTAAAACATTTTAACTCTTTCAATGCCACATTTATAGATAAACAAATCTACCATTGCCAGTCTTATTTTTAGATGCACCATAAAAAAACAAAAAGTGATATTTTCATATTTCATTACATATCTGAACTTGAAACAGATAAACTTTGGAAAGTTTGAAGAGGAATACCCTCATGTTGGTACAAAAATTCCAAACTGATATGACAGTACTCTGGAAGGAAACATACAGTATGACTGTGAAAGAGTTAAAAAGTAGAGGTTCCCATGAATTAATATTTCATTATATAAATAAGTTTGAGAAGTTAGGTTAAAAATCACATTAATGCTCTTTACTGAATGAAAAAGATAGTTTTCATAATTACCTTGGCTGGTTTTGTTTTTAACAGCAGGTTAGAATATACATCTTCTCACAGATTATTTATTACGTGCTTCAGGTTCTTAATATAGAAAGTCGAGAGAAACAGTTTGTTGACTTAAGCCCTCATCCACCTCAGGCAAAGCGTCGAGATGTGAATGGCTCCAAGAATCTTGAATTACCTGTGAAAATTGAAAATCAAAATCCTCAACCTTCGCAGCATCAAGAATTTAACGATGTGCATGAAGCCCGAAGAAGTGCTGAACGCCTTACTCCGGTATGATAAGAATAAATACACTATTTTTATTTTTTTTATTTTTTCTAAGCAACATTGACATTCTTGTTGTTGTTCCTTGTTTCAAAAATTGCAATTAATTTGTATCAAACAAGTAGTATTCTACTACAAATATAAATTTTTACGATTTAGCTTAAATGCATGATGATAAGAACTTAATAATTAACATACACATATTGTTAAGAATTGAATTCCACATAGTATATTGGAAACTACTGAACAGTGCAGAGTGCTAAACATTTTTGTCATTTGTTATGTTTGATGTTGAGAGAGAAAAAAAAGGGTTAATTGCACTTTTTCCGAATGTGCTAATGAAGTGGCATGTTGCCATAAATTTAAATCATAATACTACATACAATGTGTTAAGCACCTATTAATCTTTTTCATGGCAAATTTCCAACCATTGGACAGTGCAGTGCCACCATTTGTAGCGTCAAGGCTGAAGGGATGTGCCAGTTTTTTTTTAATCAGGGTATTTATAGATTAAGATTTTTAAGTGATTTAGACCCAAAGGATGCATCATTATGAAGAAGTAAGTCTTATTCAGCAAAGTGTTTGGAACAGGAATGGGCTCCAAAATCACACTAAAGCCAATTTGTAGCAACAATATCATTTCAAAAAAAACACTTTGATCCAAAAAGCCATTGCAATGAAGTTGGAAATATCTTCTTGTACTGATAATAAACAAGGATTCAAAATATAGAGGGTCACACCCCAAAAGTTTCTTCAAACTACGCATTGAATTCAACAATTTTTTCTATGAGAAAGGTTGCTGAAGAAATTGGGATTGCATAAAGCTCATTTGGTAACATTTTGAGTCCACCATTGTAGCTTCAATGGATTTTTATTCCTTTGGTTCACTTAAACGTGGTCTTGGAAGCTAATGTTCATATACAATGGAGAGTCCATGGAAAGCTTAAGAAGTATAGTCTAAGACTGACATGCTTTTTTTTTTAAAAGTTATTGTTACAATGGAAATTATACTGTAAGGGAATACTGAATAAAATCATGGTTGTCAGAAATAGTTCCAAGGGCAGCACAAGACCTGGAACTATTTCCTATAAAGTGTAATTAACCCTCAGTGTGTGTGGACATTCATGGTCACATTAAAAACAAAACATGATAGAAACCTGTATTTATAATGATAGGTGTTTGTGTACATTCATGAAAATAGATGTTTATGTACATGTTTGAATGATGCTATAATTTTACATATGTGTTTAATGATAGGATTTTGCTCATGTATGGATACAAGTTATGTAATGTAATAGTACATACGTTAATATATTATATATATACCAACTAATGTTGATAAAGAAAATGATACAAAATTTTGGACTTTGAGATATATCCTGCCACCCTAAGTAGGAGGTCACTGATAGCCTCCATTTTCACATTAGAAATGTTGCATCAAGTTGTATGAAACGTAGTACAAACTTTCTAAATAATTTTTAGTTTCTGCTCAAAAAATTCATGTATAAATTAACTTAGTTATTTTTAGGCTATGAAATTTCAAAACTTTGTTGTGAAATATTGATTTGGAAAAATACAGTTAGAATTGACTTTTTTTATTTATTAACATTTTTCTTTTGCCAATTGAAGCAGTCACCACTACTGGTTATAAATCATAAAAAAAAACATGGCAAAAACTATAATGTAGAACCTCACCTTTCAAAATGGCATTGCCTTTACCTCTGTCAGGCTAGGTATTTTATGTTTTGTCAGCAATATTCTTGGTCAGGATTAACTTAAATTTAATAGATATAGTTCATTTTCAATGAATCATCAGTTGTTTGAATACTATAAATATCACAATAGTATTCAATAATAAAAAAAGATTTGAGGCATCTGAAATATGAATAGTTCCCATTGCTTACTGTACTTGTTTAACGTAACTAAACTTACTTTATCATGTGTTATATAAAAATATTCCTTTAGCTTTCACACAAATATAATTTTATGTGGAAACATAAATAAAGAATGAAAAGAAAATCAAAATAAATTATAAAAACATTATCAGATCCATGTTTATTATTATGTTTAGTAAACCTTGCATTAGAATCCTTTGTTCACCCCAGTGGGAGCTCTGGATAGCTAATATTTTGAAAAACCAGGAATTATTGTTACAAGCACTTTATTCTCTTATGACAAAAATTAGAATATCTTATATTCTGTTATTTTTAGATGTTGGTTCTAATTATTGTCATTGCTGAGCTTTGTTTTTAGAACTCATAATGTAAGTAAATTAATATGTATAAGTATGCAAGCTTTCATCCCTCTTACCAGAGCATTTATTGGGCAGTAATGTAGTGACTGTAGAATGCTTTTTAAAGGCAGGTGTCTAAGCAACAATCCTAACAATAACTGACATCTGGTATTAACCCTCTGTGCATCATATGATGTTTAGTTGTCCCACCACCATTTGAATTTACAGCTCATATTTAATTATACGAGTGATCTATAGATGTTATCCCCAAAACTTGTATATAGTGGGGAGAATGTATATAGTGTAAATATTAGACATTTATACAGTAGTTTTAGTGATCTATATTAGAGTGCCAAGTGTAATACTTGTACAATATATTTGTGTTATTCATGACCAATGCTGTGCCAGTGTGAGATAAGAGAGGAGTGTGATACCACATGTGGAAAAAAACAAACAGGTCTTGCTTGCCCTCCTGTTTTATCTCATAGTCAGTGAAATCAACATCCCTCCTTACACACTGCCAGGCCTACACAGAGATCATTACATGACTTTTTGGTGTCTATTCTTTATTTGTGCATGCTATACTGTGAATTCAGAAGGAAAAAAAAATTGCTTAAACTTTTTTTTACTGCTTGCACATGTGACGGTTGGTTTTCTACCACACCTGAATACTGAAAGAGTTAAAGTTACAAAACATATAGAAATAGCTAGAAACAAATTATAACAAGTAAAGAATTAACAGATGAAGGATTAAACTTTTACATAAATTGAAGAATCAAAACCCCGGTCCTTGTAGCTGTATAACAATACAAGTATCTTGTACACTTGGTTGTTTAAAAGTATTTAAGATCAAACAACTACTTGAATATAATAAAGGGTAAAAAAGTACAATTGTAGGTATCATATAAAATAATAAAATGTTCAGATTTCAAATAAATGCAGATCAAGAGTAAAACACAAAAAAAGAAAAAACATTTTTTTAAGGTTTACTAGTTTGTGAATACCATGAAAAATATGTTTGATATTGTTGACCAGTGATGGCCATAGGGTACTGAGTGGTTGTTGGCCACTGTGTTTGAATGACATTAGTTTCTTTGTTTTTTCTTCATTTGATGTTTTCTGTTATTTTTGCATCTTTTTAGGTGTATTATGTGATCATTTTCCTGGATATGAAAAGTTATAGCTGAAGTTTTTGTAACTCAGTTTTGAATATCTCTGTGATGTTATTTGAATCTTTTTTACAGTGAATATTGTGTTTCTTCAATGTGTTATTTATTTCACTTGTACTGAATGCTATAAACCATTTTCTTTGTCAGAGGTTTGAAAACTGGGAATTTTACTTTCGTAAGATTGTCGCATAGTATAGGGGGACATTATTTGAAATCTAAATTATTTTTCTATGTAATACATATGAGTGTTTTTTTGTTTGTTTTTATATGTTTATTTATATTCAAGTAATATTTTGACCTTAGATATTAAACAACATAGTGTATATGATATTTATATTATTATACAGTTACAAAGACTGAGATGTTAATTTATTTAAAAGTTTAAATCTTTGTCTATTAAATCTGTATTTGTAATAATTTGTTTTCACCAATTTTCTACGTAATTAGTAGCGTAAATACCAGATGTCAGTTATTGTTAGAATTGTTGCTTAAACACCTGCTTTTACAAAAGTGTTCTACAGATAAACAAATTTGTATTATTCAGTATATTGTTGCCTGATGAAGGCTTTGGTAAGAGGATAAAGCGGATAAAAGCTTGCAATTAAAAAAAAGAGAATTTAAAATAGAGAACAGTCCATATAAGTTGGACATACAATCCTGAGTTTCATTAGTAAATGTTTAGACCACTTGTTGTGACATCACAAAAGGCATCAGTGAAGGGCCATAGTAATAAAACCACCCACTATCAGAGAAGGAAAAATTACATGAAAAAAGAAAACATGGTAATATTTTTTGTGGGATGTTACTTTCTTAGTAAATATAAAATACTTGATAAATGCATTGTTCACAGACAAGACTTTTTGGAGTTCTGCAGTTGGAAGATTTTTTTTCCATATTTCTTTGTGAATTTCAGAATTGTTGTTATATAATGATAAAATATTAATTCTAAAATATGTTTGAGTAATTATTTGTTGAAATACTGTTAGAATGTTTTTTTTTACTTAAATTTGATGTGCATGTGTGCACGGTACACCTGAGAGGTGCACACTGATAATGATAGGTTAGACATACATAATTGAAAAAATAATCAAATTTTCATCTCATCGTGATCCATTTCATTTTATATACATATAGTTTCACAGATCTCCTATTGGTAAAATACGACGTTCTCCAAGTAGAACCTTACACAGAAGTCTAGATTTAGACAGTAAAGGCCAAACAAGCTCAGAGGAAAAGGAAAGAAAATACAGCATTCCCGATGGTGTCAATTTACCACTGGATGGTGATGGTTCTTTTTCTCATACTGACTCTGAGCCTTGTAAAGAAAATGTACACTTGACTGAGGGGATTTCTAGAGAGCAGGATGAAACACACAAGTTGTCCAAAGTATGTACTATCCACAATATGCCAGGAAATCAATTCAGTGATGGTCAGGTTCGTAGTACCTTTGTGGATCACCTTGATTTTCGTAGTCATGATGAACTTCATAATAGTCATCATTCTCATCACCATAATTCCAAAGGCTATAACTCACACTACACTGAAGAATGCTTGTCACACCCAATGTTGGAACTTCATCCCATGGAAAACTTTCTTATAGGAAGAGGTGAAAATGAACAGAAAAATGGTTCTCCTGGAGAAAATAATTCTTCAAAAGATGATTCATCTGTTGTGGCTTTTACTTCTCTGTATGAAGGAGCAGACGGAACTGGTAAATTTATTATAGTTTTTATTTTGAACACTATAAAGAGTAGTTTTGTGAAACATTTAATAAACAATTGAATGTTATAGCTTCTCTTGAGTAATTTAAAAATAAGTCATAAACCAAGCTATGATGAAGAAATGAAACATTTTGGCTTATGATATCATTTAACTAAGAGAAGCTGAAGTTTTTACAGAAGTTTAGGCAAATATCCCAGTTCCATTGTCAAATATATAACATCCTCATCCTAACATATAATTTACATATTTTTTATTGAATGTAACTTTAGTAAGACTGTCTGCCTAAAGACTTGTACTTGAATATTCTTGAACAGATTTTGATGAAATTAAACAAAAGTCTAATAAAATTTTCCCTGACCTGATCCTCTGAAGATATACACTGATTATCTTCCCATTAAGCCACTTAAAGAACAGATATTACTACCTGTGATAAAGATTGTTTTTTAAAAAACCTTACTATCTTAACAGACTTCTGCTGATTTACATATTGAAAATCATTTTAATATAACTTACTCAACACTGTATAATTGCCAAATTGAAGATTTCATTGTTCAAGCAAAGCATAATTTTTATAGCCTTCAATTTTATTTGATTATAGGGCCATAAACTAGAAAATCAGACCCCTTTTTGCCATGCCCACATATATAGTTTTATTATATATGTTTAGTGTGCTCTAAACATTGAACAAAAATGCAAGATTAAGTTTCAAGTGAAACTATTCAAAAACTTGAGCAAAGAACTTCATTAAATATAAAAAGTTAAATTCTTGTGGTTATTGTTTTTAAACTCAAAGTAAATAGATTGGTTCATATACATGTTGAAATTTATTGGAACAAACTGACACTAACTATTTAAGATTTATTTATTTTCTTAGTTAAAATGTAAATCTCATTATTTAATTCTATATTTTGTGATTTTATTTTTTGAATAGCTTTATATATTTGTCACTGTTTGTAAAGTAGTCATAAGACATAATTAATGTGTGTTTACTCACACTATATGTTTTCTAGATTAAATTGCATGCGTTTAGAATTGCTTGGCCACAGTATAACTTATCCTTATAATTGTAGAACCAGTACTCTCCGAACATCGTTATAGTTGGCCATTAGTCAGGCCTGGTCGTGAAGATGATACAGCACTTTCTCCTTCTTTCCATTACCTTCGAAAATCAAAGTATGCAAACAGTTCACTATTTTTTATTTTATGAAACAAAATATAAACTTGTAAATTGTTTCATGATTATTATTTTTTTGTCTACATAGAATAATTTATTGATTGAATGTGATCTGTATTAAAGATAAGTTTTTGTAAGTTACACTAAAATTATAATCCATTTTTTTAGAGAACCTCAAAATATTATTTTAAGTTTTTGGTTATTGAAATGCTGAAACAGGTATTATTATTATTTTTTAATATTTAGTAGTCTTCATTTGGACCCAAGTCTTCCTCCTTCACCACCAGTGGAACAAGATATTTTTCATAAAAGGTACACAATTTAGCACACATTTATTCACAAATGCAAGTTTAAGATGCTGTAAGTGTGGCATAAAAATAAAAGAGGAGACATTTTTATTTTAACAATGTTCAATGAAACCATCAAATATATATATTTGCTTTGTCAGGGCTGAGTCTGTTATTTTGATTATTTGATATTTTATTGAAATGTGGTTTGGTTTTGAAAACCTACATTTGAAGCCTTGTTATATATATCTTTAAGCATAGATATTAAATGCATTACATAATCTGTGCAATTTGGTGCAAAATAGACTGTTTGGGTTATGTGATTGTTTAATGGTATGTTGGGTTTGCTTGCTTCATTGACAATTTTTTGTGTGGAAAAATAGTGGTTTTTATGATCAAATATGTTTCAGTCTGATGACAGTATTGTAAAATATTTTGGAATTCTGTGTCATTACATGAGATAGGGTATGAAGAGAAGGAACCAAGATGAATCGATAATGAAGCTTATTTTTTTAATTGGTAACATCATTATATACACTAACCAGTGGAATATAGACATATAACCTGAAATCACTAACCAGTGGAATATAGACATATAACCTGAAATAATTCAATTACACTTATCCAAGAAGTTTTTTGTAATTTATAGTTTTTCAGTATGTGGTTTATTTTTGTTCCCCAGTCCTCACAAGCGTAGTGAAGAAACAGTAACTGCGAAGCAAGTGAACAAGAAAATTCACAGTAAGGATTTCTCTTGAGAATTTCATAAGCTATTGTTATAAAACCACAAATTAAACTTAGAGATCTCATACTTTGTACTGCATTTTTCACATTTCTGTTATTTAAAACTAAAATTCTTATTTATATATATATATATATATATATATATTCATGGGACTAATATGAACACCTATAATAAGTACTTACTTACTTAAAACCAGCCATGCATGCATGATTTTAACGGAGTCTCTTTCTCTCTGATTTTCAACCCTAATAATTCATGTTTAGGTAAGTCATTTAAAATAGTTTGTATTATATAATATCTTTAATTTATTATCGCTACTTAATTTGGCAATAATTGGTGTTAAGTACTTTTTTCTTAGTTTAATACAAGGGACAAAAAACAAATAGTATATATATATATATATATATATATAT